AGATGCCATATTTTCTGTCCGTCTGCTACAGCAGAGGTGTAGGGAATTCCAACAAGACCTACATCTCTGCTTTATTGACTTGGTCAAGGCCTATGATACCATCAGTAGGCCTGGGCTCTGGGTCGTTCTTCGTGCTTTTGGAGTACCTGACCCTCTGCTCACGATCATTAAGGACCTTCATGATGGTGAGCGGGCCCGGGTAAAACTACGTGGCCGGGAGTCAGAGCCATTCCCTGTACACCTTGGGGTGTGACAGGGATGTCCTCTGGCTCCCACATTATTTAACATCTATTTTGACCACGTAGTTCGTGAAGCCTTCAATAGCTGTACCGGGGGAATCTCCATATGGTACAGATATAATGGGAGGCTAATCGATGCCCGGGTGCGGTCAAGGGATGGCTCCCTATTGCTCAACCACGTTATGTATGCTGATGATTTGGTAATAGCTGCTCAGTCAGAGGAGGAGTTGGAGACGCTGCTGCTGAGACTGGAGCGTGCCACTAAGAGGTGGGGGCTTACCATCAGCCCCACCAAAACTAAGCACCTGCCTGGGTATTTTGTACCATCGGACACTCCACCCCCACAACTCCCAATCGGTGATGGGGCAGTTGTGGAGAGAGTGGAGAGTTTCCCATACCTGGGCAGTGTGCTTATGACTGGCTCCAGTTTAACAGCAGAGGTCTCACTCCGAATCAGTCGAGCGGCAATATCTTTTTATCGGTTGCATAACGCTGTGTGGAAGCTACCTGGTCTGTCGTTCCGCACTAAGCTTCAGGTCTTCTCGGCCACGGTCATTCCCTCCCTTCTCTACGCTTGCGAAACGTGGACCCCCCTAATGGAACATCTTCGTCGGTTAGAAACATTTAGGCTGGCCTGCCTACGATCCATCCTGGGTTTAACCAGACTGGATTGTGTGAGGAGCTCACAAATCCTTGAAAGATCTGGGCAGGGTCCCATCGGTGAGCTCCTCCGGCAGGCAAGGCTGCGATGGCTGGGTCATGTAGCCCGCATGCCCAGCCACCGCATGCCAAAACAGCTTTTGTTTGGCCGGATCGAGGGGGCTAAGCGGGCGCGGTACGGGCTAGAAAAGAGATGGAGTGATATGGTACAGGAGGACGTGGAGCTGAGTGGACTTGCCCATGACTGGTACCAGCGGTGTCAAGATCGGCCTCTTTGGAGGAGGCTCGTGAAGGATGCTACTGGGCAGTTGGAGGCAGTCGCCCTCCAACAACAACGGAGGGCGGAGGAGCGACGCTCACAACAACGAGCGGAGCGCCGGGTGGCTAAAGCACAGCAGATTGGCACAGTAGGGGGCACAGGTGGTGCATCAGCCAGTCATCTCAGTCAGTCGACCCGTGGCACCTGGGTCTGCCCCGTGACCTCCTGCCAGCGGGTGTTCGACACTTCACGTGGCCTCAGGGTGCACATAGCCTGGCACAAGCGTCGTGGTGACGTCACCGCCACTTAGTGGCGAATGGCGGTTGTTGTTGAGTAGTGGTGAGTGTGGTGGTGAGTGTGGTGGTGAGTGTAGTGGTGAGTGTGGTGGTGAGTGTATTGGTGAGTAGTGGTGAGTGTAGTGGTGAGTGTAGTGGTGAGTGTGGTGGTGAGTGTAGTGGTGAGTGTGGTGGTGAGTGTAGTGGTGAGTAGTGGTGAGTGTGGTAGTGAGTGTGGTGGTGAGTGTAGTGGTGAGTGTAGTGGTGAGTGTGGTGGTGAGTGTAGTGGTGAGTGTAGTGGTGAGTTGTGGTGAGTGTAGTGGTGAGTGTAGTGGTGAGTAGTGGTGAGTGTGGTGGTGAGTGTAGTGGTGAGTGTGGTGGTGAGTGTGGTGGTGAGTGTAGTGGTGAGTAGTGGTGAGTGTGGTGGTGAGTGTGGTGGTGAGTGTAGTGGTGAGTGTGGTGGTGAGTGTAGTGGTGAGTGTAGTGGTGAGTGTGGTGGTGAGTGTAGTGGTCAGTATTGGTGAGTGTAATGGTGAGTGTGGTGGTGAGTGTAGTGGTGAGTAGTGGTGAGTGTAGTGGTGAGTGTAGTGGTGAGTAGTGGTGTATGTAGTGGTGAGTGTGGTGGTGAGTGTGGTGGTGAGTGTAGTGGTGAGTAGTGGTGAGTGTAGTGGTGAGTAGTGGTGAGTGTGGTGGTGAGTGTGGTGTTGAGTGTAGTGGTGAGTAGTGGTGAGTGTAGTGGTGAGTGTGGTGGTGAGTGTAGTGGTGAGTGTAGTGGTGAGTAGTGGTGAGTGTGGTTTTGAGTGTGGTGGTGAGTGTAGTGGTGAGTGTAATGGTGAGTATTGGTGAATGTGGTGGTGAGTGTGGTGGTGAGTGTAGTGGTGAGTAGTGGTGAGTAGTGGTGAGTGTAGTGGTGAGTAGTGGTGAGTGTAGTGGTGAGTAGTGGTGGTGAGTGTAGTGGTGAGTAATGGTGAGTGTGGTGGTGAGTATAGTGGTGAGTAGTGGTGAGTGTGGTGGTGAGTAGTGGTGGTGATGTCTACAAAAATATCTCTCCTCTCTCTCTCTGTGACAGCTGACAGAGCGAGCGAGAGACACGAACAGGTGGCCTGTCACGTGACCACCACCACCACGTGACGTCACCCCAACCACACCGCGTCGCCAAGCAACCACATCGCGCGCACACACCCCACGTGACCATGGCAACCACGTGACCACACCAACCGAGTAACCATACCAACCACGTGACCACACCGACCGAGTAACCATACCAACCACGTGACCACACCGACCGAGTAACCATACCAACCACGTGACCACACCAACCGGGTAACCATAACAACCACGTGACCACACCAACTGGGTAACCAAAACAACCACGTGACCACACCATCCAGTCTGTAGAGGCTACACGGGGGACCTTTGTCTGTGTCTACCTTCATAGGTGCTGCTGCTACTCGCTACTAACAGCACTTGCCCCTACAGTCTGTAGAGGCTACACGGGGGACCTTTGTCTGTGTCTACCTTCATAGCTGCTGCTACTGCTACTCGCTACTAACAGCACTTGCCCCAACAGTCTGTAGAGGCTACACGGGGGACCTTTGTCTGTGTCTACCTTCACAGGTGCTGCTGCTTCTCGCTACCAACAGCACTTGCCCCAGCAGTCTGTAGAGGCTACACGGGGACCTTTGTCTTTGTGTGCGCATGTCTATTGCGTTGATTCCGCAGCACGTGACCTGCAGCGAGGGTTGGTGGGTCGCTCACAGATGGCGTTGCGAAACTCCCTTACCGTGGGTGGGGCAAAGTGTGTGGACTAATCTCCATCTGTTCCATCTCACTCCCTTCTACCCCGTGGGTGGACTAATCTCCATCTGTTCCATCTCACTGCGTTCCACCACGTGTGTGGACTAATCTCCATCTGTTCCATCTCACTGCGTTCCACCACGTGTGTGGACTAATCTCCATCTGTTCCATCTCACTCCCTTCTACCCCGTGAGTGGACTAATCTCCATCTGTTCCATCTCACTGCGTTCCACCACGTGTGTGGACTAATCTCCATCTGTTCCATCTCACTCCCTTCTACCCCGTGTGTGGACTAATCTCCATCTGTTCCATCTCACTCCCTTCTACCCCGTGGGTGGACTAATCTCCATCTGTTCCATCTCACTGCGTTCTACCACGTGTGTGGACTAATCTCCATCTGTTCCATCTCACTCCATTCTACCGCGTGTGTGGACTAATCTCCATCTGTTCCATCTCACTCCCTTCTACCACGTGTGTGGACTAATCTCCATCTGTTCCATCTCACTCCATTCTACCGCGTGTGTGGACTAATCTCCATCTGTTCCATCTCACTCCCTTCTACCCCGTGGGTGGACTAATCTCCATCTGTTCCATCTCACTCCCTTCTACCCCGTGAGTGGACTAATCTCCATCTGTTCCATCTCACTCCCTTCTACCCCGTGTGTGGACTAATCTCCATCTATTCCATCTCACTCTCTTCGAGCACGTGGGTGGACTAATCTCCATCTGTTCCATCTCACTGCCTTCTACCCCGTGTGTGGACTAATCTCCATCTGTTCCATCTCACTACCTTATACCCCGTGGGTGGACTAATCTCCATCTGTTCCATCTCGCTCCCTTCTACCCCGTAGGTTGGCTAATCTCCATCTGTTCCATCTCACTGCCTTCTCCCACGTGGGTGGACTAATCTCCATCTGTTCCATCTCACTCTTTTCTAGCACGTGGGTGGACTAATCTCCATCTGTTCCATCTCACTCCCCTTCTACCACGTGTGTGGACGAATCTCCATCTGTTCCATCTCACTCCCTTCTACCCCGTGGGTGGGCTAATCTCCATCTGTTCCATCTCACTCCCCTTCTACCACGTGTGTGGACTAATCTCCATCTGTTCCATCTCACTCCCTTCTACCCTGTGGGTGGACTAATCTCCATCTGTTCCATCTCACTCCCTTCTACCCCGTGGGTGGACTAATCTCCATCTGTTCCATCTCACTCCCTTCTACCACGTGGGTGGACTAATCTCCATCTGTTCCATCTCACTCCCTTCTACCCCGTGGGTGGACTAATCTCCATCTGTTCCATCTCACTCCATTGTACCACGTGGGTGGACGAATCTCCATCTGTTCGTTGGTGTAATCCCGACCCTGACGATGCCTCCTGCTCTATGTTTTGAGCCTGCGTCTCTCTCTGTCATCGTCATCACCATCATCACGGTGGCGAGGAGATGTTGACTACCTCGCCTGGTGCCCAGGAGGTTGTGGGTTCGATCCCGACCCTGCTGCTGCTGCTGCTGTCGTCTCTCTCTTCCAACTTTTTTCAAATGTTCTCGCCGTGGTTTTCACACCTGATGATGATTGCTGCTTTTGTGCTGCGGTCGAAACGTCGTGAGAATTTAATCAGTTTCATATTTTTTTTATTATTTTATTGCTTCCCTTCTACGTGGTAGCGGTGGTGGTGACTTTACCGACAGTACCAACAACATGATCTTCACGTCTCTTCGAATTTCCTTTCCGCGCGCTGCGAGTAAAGACTCCGCGAGCGGAACCGGGGATATATTTTAGTCGTTTATTTTCTTGGCTGCCAGGGAGGTTCAGGCCAGACGGCCTGCCACCACCCCCCCCCCCCGTCCCACCACCACCACCACCATCCCTCCCTCCCCCTCTCCGTGTGCCACGTCCAGGGAGAAAACCAAGGACGGGCGGGCGGGCGGGGGGAGAGGTCACGGACAATATCGTCTGCGTCACGGCAAAAGCCCTCGCTCTGCCGTCCGTAGCCGTAGCTGCGTCCTCCCTGCGATGTGGAGTTCGTCCTTCGTAGGCAACGGGGCTGCCCTCCCACCATTGTAACGCGGGGCAACGGGCCGCCAACGTTTATAACGCTGAAGACGAGCCGCTCCCCGTTATAACGCGGGGCAACGGACCGCCAACGTTTATAATACTGAAGCGAGCCGTTCTCCTGTTATAACGCGGGGCAACGGACCGCCAATGTTTATGATACTGAAAGCGAGCCGCTCCCCGTTATAACGCGGGGCAACGGACCGCCAACGTTTATAACACTGAAGCGAGCCGTTCTCCTGTTATAACGCGGGGCAACGGACCGCCAACGTTTATGATACTGAAAGCGAGCCGCTCTCCTGTTATAACGCGGGGCAACGGACCGCCAACGTTTATGATACTGAAAGTGAGCCGTTCCCCTGTTATAACGCGGGGCAACGGGCCGCCAACGTTTATAACGCTGAAGACGAGCCGCTCCTCGTTATAACGCGGGGCAACGGGCCGCCAACGTTTATGATACTGAAAGCGAGCCGCTCCCCTGTTATAACGCGGGGCAACGGACCGCCAATGTTTATGATACTGAAAGCGAGCCGCTCCCCTGTTATAACGCGGGGCAACGGGCCGCCAACGTTCATGATACTGAAGCGAGCCGTTCTCCTGTTATAACGCGGGGCAACGGACCGCCAACGTTTATGATACTGAAAGCGAGCCGCTCCCCCGTTATAACGCGGGGCAACGGGCCGCCAACGTTTATGATACTGAAAGCGAGCCGCTCCCCTCGTTATAACGCGGGGCAACGGGCTGACCCCCGGATACCCCGTGGGGCAACGCGCCCCACACCTAACCCCCCCCCCCCCCGTCCCCCTCCGTTATAACGCAGGAACGGGGAAGGCGGTACACGGCAGGGTGTGGCGACCGATCTCCATCTGTTCCACTCGGTGTTAGCCCCCCCCCGCCTCGTCTTGGGCGGGAACACGGGCGGACACACGGGCGGACACACGGACGGGCGCACGGTTTAACTTTCAACCTTGGTCCCAAGGTCACGCCCCAGGCCAACGAGAACCACGGCTCACAGGCGCCAGGGGGCTCGTGGGGGGCGAGGGGCAAGGCGGGAGGGGGGGGGGGGGGAGTTGTGGGGTCACGTCCGCGGGGTCGAAGCGGGGCTCATGGGGTCAGAGTTCGTCAGAGCGGAGGGGTCACGGCTCGAGGGTCGTTGGGGGGAGGGGGGGGCGGGGTCAGAGTTCGTCAGAGCGGCGGAGGCCACGGCTGCGGGGGTTGTCGTTGGAGGGGAGAGGTCAGGGGGGGGGGGGTCAGGGGTCAGAGTTCCTCGGAGTGCCTCGGGAGGGTCAGGGGTCAGAGTTCGTCCGAGCGGCGGGGGTCACGGCCGTGGTGCCGCCGTCGTCGGAACCGAGAGGTCAGAGGGGTCACGGGTGGCGGTGGTGGTGGTGGTGGGGGGGGGGGGGGGTCGGGGGGGGGTCAGGGGTCAGGGGTCAGAGTTCCTCGGCGCGTCGCTTGAGGATGACGTCCCTGACGAGGCCCACGATGGCCGGCCTGAGGTCCTCCACGGGGGTGTCGGGGCCCCAGGCGCCCACGGGGCGGCCATCGGCGTCCACCAGAAACTTCCAGAAGTTCCAGCGTGGCTCCTGGCCCAGGGCGTCTGAGAGGAGGAGGAGGGGGAGGGGGCGATGGGGGGGGGGGGGCGGGTGGGTGGGTGGGGGGAAGCGGTGGCGCGGCGGTTAGCAGCCACGCGGTCCGCAGAGACGAAGCGGTGTGTGTGAGTGTGTGTATGTGTGTATGTATGTGTATGAGTGTGTGTGTATGTGTATGTATATGTGTGTGTACATATGTGTGTGTGTGTGTGAGTGTGTGAGTGTGAGTATGTGTGTGTATGTGTATGTGTGTGTATGTGTGTGTATGTGTGTGTGTGTATGTGTGTGTGTGTATGTGTGTGTGTGTGAGTGTGTATGTGTGAGTGTGTGAGTGTGTGTGTGTATGTGTGTATGTGTGTGTGTATGTGTGTGTGTATGTATGTGTGTATGTATGTGTATGTGTGAGTGCGTGTATGTATGTGTGTATGTATGTGTGTGTGTGAGTGTGTGTATGTATGTGTGTGCATGTGTGTGTATGTGTGTGTGTGCATGTGTGTATGTATGTGTGTGTATGTGCGAGTGTGTGTATGTGTGTGTGTATGTGTGAGCATGTGTGTGTGTGTATGTGTGTGTGTGTGTATGTCCGGTAAAACAACCCCCTACCTCCTCGCGGTGCCGGACGGGCAACTCTGTCGAGGACAGTGCTGAATTGGCCCTCTCCCCTCATGGCGTCGGTGACCACCACAGTGGCTAAACGGGGGCTCTGGACGGGTGCGAGGGGCTGGTAATTCCTCCACGAAACCACGAGTTAAACTGAAATATGTAACTAATAAGCTGGTGCCGGAGGCACCAGGAGATTGAATAACTACCCTCGGGGCTCCTCCAAAAACAACGAAAAGCCACTTCGTGTGGCCACGTGGAATGTTCGAACGCTCATTGCGGAGGAGAGGCTGCCACTCCTCTGTCGGGAGCTGGACCGGTACCACCTGGATCTCTGTGGCATTCAGGAGGTTCTAGCTCCTGCCACCATGAGGGGTGGACAGTCCTCTACTCGGGGTAGCAGACTGCCAAACAACAGGGTGTGGCTCTCCTTTTGAACAAAAGAATGAAGGGTGCGTGGGAGCATGGCGGTGAGGTGTGGGAAGCTGCAAGCCCCAGACTACTTTGGGCTCGCCTTCCCATCAACTGGAGGCGAGGAGTGGTGGTCGTGGTTACTTATGCCCCCACCGAAGATGAACATCCGTGGAGGGATGCAGGCAAGGCCGATGAGTCAGATGCCTTCTATGACCTCCTGTCACAGGTGCTGGCTAAAGTGGCCCCTCGGGATAGAGTCATATTGTTGGGTGACTTCAATGCCCGAGTTGGTCATGATGCTGGCACCTGGTCTGGAGTGATTGGAGGGCATGGGCCAGATCAACTCAATAACAACGGTAGGAGGCTGCTAGATTTTTGTGCAGCCCATGGGCTTGTAATTACCAACACGCTGTTCCGGCATCGGCGCATCCACATAACATCATGGATGCATGTCGGATCCAAGCAAGAACATTTGCTGGACTACATAGTGACGGACCAGCAGATGCGAGCCCATGTCCTTGACACCAGGACCTCCCGTGGAGCTGATCTGCCCTCTGACCATCGACTATTCATCTGTAAGATGCGCCTGCCATTCTTCCACTCCGGTGGTGGGTGTACACCCAGGACCCCATTCCAACCTAAAGTGGCCTGGTCTCAGCTAGCTGATGAAAGTTGCAAGCGAGAATTTCATTATCGCTTGCGGCTGGGATTGGCATCGTCCCCGACTCCTCCTGATGTCGAGGGTAAATGGGCGAGGTTTAGGACTGTGACTCATGCAGCTGCAATGGCTGCTTTGGGTACGCGGTCCAGACCTCCCCAGAGACCCTGGCTGACAGAGGAGGTGTTCAGGATGGTTGAGAAAAAGCGACAGGCCCACTGTCATCGGCTACAGAATCCCACGTCAGAGAATGAGGAGGCTTACCGCAGCCTTTGCTCGGAGGTTCGGAGAGCCGTGAGGCGCTGCAAGGATGGGTGGTGGTCGCGGGTTGCTGAGGAGATGGAGTCTGCCTCAGTGGCCCGTGATCACAAATCTCTATTTAACTCCATCAAAAAAGTAACCTGCAGTGCCACACCTATTACCATCATTAGGGGAAAAACGGTGATCCAATCTCCGACCTCCAGGAACACGTTTTTTGATATTTGCTGAGCATTTTTGTGAGGTCCTGGGGGAAGGAAAATCCCTCAGCCAGGAAAACATCGTGGCACAAAGTGAGGATAACCCTGCTGAGGCTGCGGTGCCTCAAATATTGGAATAAGTCACCCCCTGTGAGTGGCTGGCTGAGGTGCCATCTGTTGAGGAAGTACTGAAGGCGATCCGGAGTCTGAGACCAGGAAAGGCAGCGGGCAGAGATGATCTCCCAAGCGAAATGCTGAGGGAGGGCGGCGTTTGTGCACAGACTGCCCTATATGACATCATAACAACAGTCTGGACCACTGGATGGGTTCCGCAGGATTGGAAGGATGCCCTGGTGGTCCCCCTTTTTAAGAAGGGGGACCGCACAGACTGTAACAACTACAGGGGCATCTCACTCCTTAGTGTGCCGGGAAAGGTCCTGGCAAGGATTATTCAACATCGCCTTGCCAGGCACGCTGAGTAGAGGCTTGCGGAGCCCCAATGCGGTTTCAGGAAAGGGCGGTCCTGCACAGATGCCGTATTTTCCGTCCGTCTGCTACAGCAGAGGTGTAGGGAATTCCAACAAGACCTACTTCTCTGCTTTGTTGACCTGGTCAAGGCCTATGATACCATCAGTAGGCCTGGGCTCTGGGTTGTTCTTCGTGCTTTTGGAGTACCTGATCCTCTGCTCACGATCATTAAGGACCTTCATGATGGTGAGCGGGCCCGGGTAAAACTACGTGGCCAGAAGTCAGAGCCATTCCCTGTACACCTTGGGGTGCGACAGGGATGTCCTCTGGCTCCCACATTATTTAACATCTATTTTGACCACGTAGTTCGTGAAGCCTTCAATAGCTGTACTGCTCAGTCAGAGGAGGAGTTGGAGACGCTGCTGCTGAGACTGGAGCGTGCCACTAAGAGGTGGGGCATTACCATCAGCCCCACCAAAACTAAGCACCTGCCTGGGTATTTTGTACCATTGGACACTCCACCCCCACAACTCTCGATCGGTGATGGGGCAGTTGTGGAGAGAGTGGAGAGTTTCCCATACCTGGGCAGTGTGCTTATGACTGGCTCCAGTTTAACAGCAGAGGTCTCACTCCGAATCAGTCGAGCGGCAATATCTTTTCATCGGTTGCGTAACGCTGTGTGGAAGCTACCTGGTCTGTTGCTCCGCACTAAGCTTCAGGTCTTCTCGGCCACGGTCATTCCCTCCCTTCCCTACGCTAGCGAAACGTGGACCCCCCTAATGGAACATCTTCGCCGGTTAGAAACATTTAGGCTGGCCTGCCTACGATCCATCCTGGATTTAACCAGACTGGATTGTGTGAGGAGCTCACAAATCCTTGAAAGATCTGGGCAAGGTCCCATCGGTGAGCTCCTCCGGCGGGCAAGGCTGCGATGGCTGGGTCATGTAGCCCGCATGCCCAGCCACCGCATGCCGAAACAGCTTTTGTTCGGCCGGATTGAGGGGGCAAAGCGGGCGCGGCACGGGCTAGAGAAGAGATGGAGTGATGTGGTACAGGAGGACGTGGAGCTGAGTGGACTTGCCGATGACTGGTACCAGCGGTGTCAAGATCAGCCTCTGTGGAGGAGGCTCGTGAAGGATGCTACTGGGCAGTTGGAGGTAGTCGCCCTCCAACAACAACGGAGGGTGGAGGAGCGATGCTCACAACAACGAGCGGAGCGCCGGGTGGCTAAAGCACAGCAGGTTGGCACAGTAGGGGCACAGGTGGTGCATCAGCCAGTCATCTCAGTCAGTCGACCCGTGGCACCTGGGTCTGCCCCGTGACCTCCTGCCAGCGGGCGTTCGACACTTCACGTGGCCTCAGGGTGCACATAGCCTGGCACAAGCGTCGTGGTGACGTCACCGCCACTTAGTGGCGAATGGCGGTTGTTGTTGTGTGTGTGTATGTATGTGTGTGTATGTGTGTATGTGTGTGTATGTGTGTGTATGTATGTGTGTGTGATCACCGAAGAGGAAGCGGAGGGCTGGCTCAGCGTTGGCTCCCAGGACGAGGCTCTTAGCGAAGAGCGGGAAGGACGCTCCCTGGGTGTGACGAGCAAACGCCTCCACCTCCGAGTTTGAACCGGGCTCCTGCACCACCATCAACATCATCACCAACATCACCAACATCAACATAACCACCACCATCAACATCACCAACATCACCAACATCATCACCACCATCAACATCATCACCACCACCATCAACATCACCAACATCACCAACATCACCACCACAATCAACATCAACATCACCACCATCAACATCATCAACATCATCACCACCATCAACATCATCACCAGCATCACCAACATCAACATAACCACCATCAACATCATCACCACCATCAACATCACCAACATCACCACCGCCATGAACATCATCACCACCATCAACATCACCAACATCATTAACGTCACTATCAACATCATTAACGTCACTATCAACATCATCACCACCATCATCATCACCACCACCATCAACATCATCAACATCACCAACATCATCAACATCATCACCACCACCATCAACATCACCAACATCACCAACATCATCAACATCACCAACATCACCAACATCACCAACATCATCACCACCATCAACATCACCAACATCACCAACATCAACATCATCACCACCATCATCATCACCACCACCATCAACATCATCAACATCACCAACATCATCAACATCATCACCACCACCATCAACATCACCAACATCACCAACATCATCAACATCACCAACATCACCAACATCACCAACATCATCACCACCATCAACATCACCAACATCACCAACATCATCAACACCATCAACATCAACAACATCACCAACATCACCAACATCATCAACATCATCACCACTACCATCAACATCATCACCACCACCATCAACATCGCCACCATCAACATCACCACCATCAACATCATCACCACCACCATCAACATCATCACCACCACCATCAACATCATCACCACCACCATCAACATCACCACCACCATCAACATCATCACCACCACCACCACCACCAACATCACCAACATCACCAACATCATCAACATCACCAACATCACCAACATCACCAACATCATCAACATCATCACCACCATCAACATCACCACCATCAACATCACCACCATCAACATCATCAACATCACCAACATCATCAACATCATCACCACCATTGACATCACCACCATCAACATCAACAACATCACCAACATCATCACCACCACCATCAACATCATCACCACCACCATCATCAAAATCAACATCACCACCACCATCAACATCACCAACATCACCACCACCATCAACATCACCACCATCAACATCACCACCACCATCAACATCACCACCATCAACATCATCAACATCACCAACATCATCAACATCACCACCACCAACATCGCCAACATCGCCAACATCATCATCACCTGTGCCACCACCACCACGTGCATCATCACCTGTCACCACCACCACCACGTGCATCATCACCTGTGCTACCCCCACCACGTGCATCATCACCTGTGCCACCTCCCCCCCCCCACGTGCATCATCACCTGTGCCACCACTACCACCACCACGTGCATCATCACCTGTGCCATCCCCACCACGTGCATCATCACCTGTGCCACCTCCCCCCCCCCACGTGCATCATCACCTGTGCCACCACTACCACCACCACGTGCATCATCACCTGTGCTACCCCCATCACGTGCATCATCACCTGTGCCACCCCCACTACCACCACGTGCATCATCACCTGTGCTACCCCCACCACGTGCATCATCACCTGTGCCACCACTACCACCACCACGTGCATCATCACCTGTGCCACCACTACCACCACCACGTGCATCATCACCTGTGCCATCCCCACCACGTGCATCATCACCTGTGCCACCTCCCCCCCCCCACGTGCATCATCACCTGTGCCACCACTACCACCACCACGTGCATCATCACCTGTGCTACCCCCACCACGTGCATCATCACCTGTGCCACCCCCACTACCACCACGTGCATCATCACCTGTGCTACCCCCCCCACGTGCATCATCACCTGTGCCACCACTACCACCACCACGTGCATCATCACCTGTGCCACCACTACCACCACCACGTGCATCATCACCTGTGCCACCACTACCACCACCACGTGCATCATCACCTGTGCTACCCCCCCCACGTGCATCATCACCTGTGCCACCACTACCACCACCACGTGCATCATCACCTGTGCCACCACTACCACCACCACGTGCATCATCACCTGTGCCACCACTACCACCACCACGTGCATCATCACCTGTGCCACCACTACCACCACCACGTGCATCATCACCTGTGCCATCCCCACCACGTGCATCATCACCTGTGCCACCTCCCCCCCCCCACGTGCATCATCACCTGTGCCACCACTACCACCACCACGTGCATCATCACCTGTGCTACCCCCACCACGTGCATCATCACCTGTGCCACCCCCACTACCACCACGTGCATCATCACCTGTGCTACCCCCCCCCACGTGCATCATCACCTGTGCCACCACTACCACCACCACGTGCATCATCACCTGTGCCACCACTACCACCACCACGTGCATCATCACCTGTGCCACCACTACCACCACCACGTGCATCATCACCTGTGCTACCCCCCCCACGTGCATCATCACCTGTGCCACCACTACCACCACCACGTGCATCATCACCTGTGCCACCACTACCACCACCACGTGCATCATCACCTGTGCCACCACTACCACCACCACGTGCATCATCACCTGTGCCACCACTACCACCACCACGTGCATCATCACCTGTGCCATCCCCACCACGTGCATCATCACCTGTGCCACCGCCCCCCCCCCACGTGCATCATCACCTGTGCCACCACTACCACCACCACGTGCATCATCACCTGTGCTACCCCCACCACGTGCATCATCACCTGTGCCACCCCCACTACCACCACGTGCATCATCACCTGTGCTACCCCCCCCACGTGCATCATCACCTGTGCCACCACTACCACCACCACGTGCATCATCACCTGTGCCACCACTACCACCACCACGTGCATCATCACCTGTGCTCCGAACTGATTGCAAGGGAACGCCAGCACCTTGAAGTGTGTGGGGCCCAGCTCTCGGTAGAGCTTCTGCAGGGCCCCGTAGTGAGCCTGCGTGTAGCCACACTCGCTCGCCACGTTCACCACCAGAGACACCTACACACACACACACAGGTGCACACACAGGTGTACACACACACACACACAGGTGTACACACACACAAAGGTGTACACACACACAGTGTACACACACACACAGGTGTACACACACACACACAGGTGTACACACAACAACAACCGCCATTCGCCACTAAGTGGCGGTGACGTCACCACGACGCTTGTGCCAGGCTATGTGCACCGTGAGGCCACGTGAAGTGTCGAACGCCCGCTGGCAGGAGGTCACTGGGCAGACCCAGGTGCCACGGGTCGACTGACTGAGATGACTGGCTGATGCACCACGTGTGCCCCCTACTGTGCCAACCTGCTGTGCTTTAGCCACCCGGCGCTCCGCTCGTTGTTGTGAGCGTCGCTCCTCTGCCCTCCGTTGTTGTTGGAGGGCGACTGCCTCCAACTGCCCAGTAGTGTCCTTCACGAGGCTCCTCCACAGAGGCCGATCTTGACACCGCTGGTACCGGTCATCGGCAAGTCCACTCAGCTCCACGTCCTCCTGTACCACATCACTCAATCTCTTCTCTAGCCCGTGCCGCGCCCGCTTTGCCCCCTCAATCCGGCCGAACAAAAGCTGTTTCGGCATGCGGTGGCTGGGCATGCGGGCTACATGACCCAGCCATCGCAGCCTTGCCCGCCGGAGGAGCTCACCGATGGGACCTTGCCCAGATCTTTCAAGGATTTGTGAGCTCCTCACACAATCCAGTCTGGTTAAACCCAGGATGGATCGTAGGCAGGCCAGCCTAAATGTTTCTAACCGGCGAAGATGTTCCATTAGGGGGGTCCACGTTTCGCAAGCGTAGAGAAGGGAGGGAATGACCGTGGCCGAGAAGACCTGAAGTTTAGTGCGGAGCGACAGACCAGGTAGCTTCCACACAGCGTTACGCAACCGATGAAAAGATATTGCCGCTCGACTGATTCGGAGTGAGACCTCTGCTGTTAAACTGGAGCCAGTCATAAGCACACTGCCCAGGTATGGGAAACTCTCCACTCTCTCCACAACTGCCCCATCACCGATCGGGAGTTGTGGGGGTGGAGTGTCCGATGGTACAAAATACCCAGGCAGGTGCTTAGTTTTGGTGGGGCTGATGGTAAGGCCCCACCTCTTAGTGGCACGCTCCATTCTCAGCAGCAGCGTCTCCAACTCCTCCTCTGACTGAGCAGCTATTACCAAATCATCAGCATACATAACGTGGTTGAGCAATAGGGAGCCATCCCTTGACCGCACCCGGGCATCGATCAGCCTCCCATTATATCTGTACCATATGGAGATTCCCCCGGTACAGCTCTCGAAGGCTTCACGAACTACGTGGTCAAAATAGATGTTAAATAATGTGGGAGCCAGAGGACATCCCTGTTGCACCCCAAGGTGTACAGGGAATGGCTCTGACTCCCGGCCACGTATTTTTACCCGGGCCCGCTCACCATTATGAAGGTCCTTAATGATCGTGAGCAGAGGGTCAGGTACTCCAAAAGCACGAAGAACGACCCAGAGCCCAGGCCTACTGATGGTATCATAGGCCTTGACCAGGTCAATAAAGCAGAGATGTAGGTCTTGTTGGAATTCCCTACACCTCTGCTGTAGCAGACGGACAGAAAATATGGCATCTGTGCAGGACCGCCCTATCCTGAAACCGCATTGGGGCTCTGCAAGCCTCTCCTCAGCGTGCCTGGCAAGGCGATGCTGAATAATCCTTTCCAGGACCTTTCCCGGCACACTGAGGAGTGAGATGCCCCTGTAGTTGTTACAGTCTGTGCGGTCCCCCTTCTTAAAAAGGGAGACCACCAGGGCATCCTTCCAATCCTGCGGAACCCGTCCAGTGGTCCAGACTGTTGTTATGATGTCATATAGGGCAGTCGGTGCACAAACGCCGCCCTCCCTCAGCATTTCGCTTGGGAGATCATCTCTGCCCGCTGCCTTTCCTGGTCTCAGACTCCGGATCGCCTTCAGTACTTCCTCAACAGATGGCACCTCAGCCAGCCACTCACAGGGGGTGACTTCTTCCAATATTTGAGGCACCGCAGCCTCAGCAGGGTCATCCTCACTTTGTGCCACGATGTTTTCCTGGCTGAGGGATTTTCCCTCACACAGAAATACACACAGACACACACACAGACACACACACAGAGATACACAGACACACACACAGACACACACAGACATACACACAGACATACACACACAGACGCACACAGACACACACACACAGACACACACAGACACACACACAGAGATACACACAGACACACACAGACATACACACAGACACACACACAGACATACACACAGAGAGATACACAGACACACACACAGACACACACACAGACACACACACACAGATACACAGACACACACACACAGATATACACACAGAGATACACAGACACACACAGACATACACACAGACACACACACAGACACACACACACAGAGATACACAGACACACACAGAGATACACAGACACACACACAGAGATACACACAGAC